TATTAACAGACACAAACACGCATACAGACTTTTTAAAAGTTAGCTTTAGATAGAAAGATATACATTAAAATGCAGAATAAGAGTAACATGTCTGAGGGAGAAACCAACTGCCAAGAACTTTCATTGCATTGTTCTTAAAAAAACAACCACCACATCCTTTTGACACTACCACCATTACTACCGGCTGTCCAGAAGTCGTTTGCTTTTAGCCCAGGTCTAAATCCTTTATTGCTTTGCTTGATCCTAGTCATGAAGGCCCTGAGAGAACACGAGACAGAGGCAGCAATTGAAGTCTACCATGGAAGCCTCTCTGGTCTTAATAATTGTGAAAGAAAGGGGCCAAACGGGATCAGCTTGCTTTGTTCATTGATCGTCTTGTGATGAAATGAAAGCCAGTTTTCAAAAATCCTTGAGAGTCCACCCTGATACCCTAGCTACTCAGCATCTCTATTGGATAGGAGGAAGGAGGTGTTAGAAACTGAGTGGCCTCATCGCTCAGGCAGTTGGGCCAGATGATCGTTGTAGGTCCCTTCCAACGGGAACTATTCTATTCTGTTCTCACTTCTGTCTGAAACACGGCTAAGCGTGGGGACGAAGCAGTGGAGAGGATTTTTTTTTTTATTTTTACGATTCTCCCGTATAAACTCTGTCACATAGGACATGTTACAACACTGTCAAAGGTCCAGAATCCTGGGTCCAAGTGCCTCATGGAAGCTGCCAGCAACAGACAGGCTCCACCTGATGGCAAGCTCTCTTCTACTAACTCTGAAGTAGCAACTTCCAAGATGCATCTTGTTTTGAATCTTCAGGCAACTCATGAAACACGATTTTCTTGACAGGAGAATAAGTCTTGCTTCCAATTTCAAAGGCAGCAGTGAACAGGACACCAGCACATGGGACTCAAGAATTGAAGAAGGCCTGGGGAGCTCAAGAACTAAAGAAGGCCAAGCAAATTGGGACCCTTGCTACAAGAAAGATGTTGAGGTGCTGGAGTGTCTCCAAAGAAGGGCAACAAAGCTGGTGAGGGGTCTGGAGCACAAGTCTTACGCGGAGCGGCTGAGGGAACTGGGGTTGTTTAGCCTGGAGGAGACTGAGGGGAGACCTTATCGCTCTCTACAACTGCCTGAAACTCTACAACTAACTACCTGAAAGGAGGTTGTAGTGAGGTGGGAATTGGTCTCTTTGCCCAAGTAACAAGGATAGGACAAGAAGAAATGGCTTCAAGTTGCACCAGGGGAGGTTTAGGTTGGACATTAGGAAAAATTTCTACACTGAAAGGGTTACCAGGCACTGGAATGGGCTGCTCAGGGAAGTGGTGGAGTCCCCATCCCTGGAGGTATTAGAGACGGGCAGAAGAGGTGCTTAGAGACATGGTTTAGTGGTGGACAGGTACGGTTGGACTCAATCTTAAAGGTCTTTTCCAAGAAATGATTCTGTGAAACACAAGTGCCGTGCACTCCATCAGCTCGTGTACGAAAAAGCCCGTATTGCTGTTGCCTGCAACGTACCTGTTGAGGTTAAAAGAAACACATGCCCCAGTCCTTTCTTGTAAAAATTAGGACTCACTCCCAGAATTGTAACCCCGTAGTTACAAAAATCAAGATGCAGTGACAGACCTTGGCCTTGCACTCTGCATGTGTGGACAGCTTCACATAAAAGGTTACAGAAGATCCTTCCCTGTAAGCCATCAGTGATTAAGGCTGTAGACCCGAAACATCATGAACATCTTCGGTGACCTGGCAGAGCAGTTAGGTGTCTATCAGACAACAGTCACAATGTTAACCTGTTCAGTTAGGGCTAAAGGACGTAAAAGGAGGTACAATACTGATGAATTCAAGGTGTATTTTTGAAACAGTTAAATTCTTCTGCGCCATCATCTGGCCTATAGTCTGGCCCAAAGCAGTAGGCAGGCAGTAGAAGGGGACTTACGTTGTATTTTTCCAAGTTTCCACAAGCAAGCAAGCAAGCATGTGATAACAATTTAAGATACAATTACTCGGTTTCTGAAAAGGCAGCAGTTTGTGATGCTGGAAAATTGGAGGGATTTTCAAAAGAAGTATTGAAGTTATTCCCATGTGATATCTCCCTTTCACCCAAACACAGGTGTAGAAGGCGTTCTCCTCCCCTTTCCACCACGTAGAAAAGTACCTACACCCCAGCCCTCTATTACCAGTGCCCTGAAATTGCAGCGTCAAGCCCACCCAGTTCCCTTGCATAAGGATCCTCTATTACAGATTCATTTTTTTTCCTGATCTGACCGCTGATTAATTCAACGCACAGCAGACCGTTTCCTCCACCAATGCCTTATCCCCTTGCTCTCCCTTTCCCCACTCTCCTTTTCTTGCCGGCGTATCCGAATCAGTCAGCTCCCACCTCCCTCCGATCTGCCTCCTTACTAGCAGGAGAAGAACAGCAGAGCACGAAGACGACCAAATGGCGGGTCGGTGCTCCGCAGCCTGGCAGGCCCCAGCCTGCTCAGCCTTTCCTCCCCTGTGCGGGGCCCTGCTCTGTTGGGGAAGATGAACGCGGCGGGGCTCATGCCGACGTGGTGAGGCAAGGGAGCACGCTGGGAGCGCAAAGGCTCCGCCGGGAATTTCGGTGCTGAGCTCCCAGCCTCTACCGAGTGCGCTCATAGAAAGCAGTCCACGAAACCCATGGGAGTTTATGCAGGGCCAGAAGCGCTCCTGCCAGCTAAGGTAGCTCTTGCGTGCCCGAGGGACCAGCCTGGTGCCAAGTCTCTGCTCCAGAGGCACGAGAAACTGGAGGGTCGGTTGCGTATGGAGAAAACCGCTTTTTCTTCACGCCTTGCCCTCGGAGCTCGCTGCAATCTCATCCGCTGACACCGCAATCCAAGCAAAACAGAAGTTGCGTGAGGAGGGACCCCACCGTGCTCTGCCACCGAAACTGAAGGGGGG